CCTCTAGCAGAGGAGGCGTAATGCAAGCAAGCTTTGTTTTGCTGACTGTATCCTTGATAATTCATCAACGGTAGCATTGGATGAATTCAGCAGAAGCTGCTTAGAAATACACTGTATACAAAAATTAATGATTTACTTGGCTAAAATTTTCTTTGGTTTGTTTAAACGCTTTTGGAAGCAAAGTACCATGCACTGGGTGCAGGCAGGACAGTGGACCTCCCAAACCTAGCAATGGAGAGGAGATGATGAATTATGTAGGTGGGAGAGAATTCACAAAAATCTGGTTGAATGAGGGAAGTATTGCTTTGCATGAGTTGAGACTTCTGCTGTACTGTTTAATCAAAGTTCAAGGGATTCTGTGCACTTTGGAGAGTGTGTATAAAATGCAACGCCAGGACGGGATTTACTGCGGGGGAGGAAGCTAAGCATCATGTGCTGCATCGCCAAGGGCTGAGCTCCTTGTCATATGATGAACAAGAGCCTTCACCACCTCACAGCATCCCCTTGCTGTGCTGTCTCCAACATCTCTGCGCTCTAATACTGCTCTAAATCGAGCGTGATCACTTTGAAAGAAGCTGTTTGTCCCAATATAGCAATACTTTGCAATAATTTTTGAACTCCATCATTCCTGGGGGGGTAAGAAGGCTGCTGTGTCTCTACATTGGTGATCAGAGAAGCTGTGGCTTGCAAAATGCAAGTGCAGCTATTGAACACACACACTTTTCAGTGTATAAATGAATATTTGTGCTGTCAGTCATAAGAGAAGCCCTCAGAAGGGGATTTAGTGAGGGAGTATGCTGAGGACTTATGAAAGTGAAGAACTTTTGCTTGAGTCTGTTCTTTCTTCTTTTTCCTATCAAAGATCATGAATGACCAGCAAATTATTTTTGAAGAATATAACCATTAAAAAAAAAAAAAAAAGGGAAAAGAAATATCTTCAAGTTTGAGAAAGGAGTGACTCAGGACAGTTAGTCTTTCCCTTATATGTGCAAGAGGATTTTTCTTTTCCTCTTTCAACCACAGGACTCTGTTTTAGAGCTTTCCCTATTAACCTGCCTATTGGGAAAAGTGAATCCATCAAGTTTCCCAAGCTTCCAGACAACTGGGAATGCATTGGGCACATGCAACTCTTCTGCAAATATTTTGATGAAAGGGAAATTTTATGCACGAGTTAACAGTGCTGTGTAGGACTTTCACCACGGGAGCTCTCACTTGACGTATGTGCTGGTCCCTGGGATGGAAGCTCCAGTGCTCTGATGTTCCACACACTGGAGCTGAGGGCTGGTAGGAGCCCGAGTGCCAAAGGTTTACAGGGGTGGCAACTGTCGTGTCCGAGTGCCCACCGTGCAGGGCATTGCCATCCTAATGCTGCCGTGTGAAACTGGGAGCAGGGAAACAATGAAGAAGGCAGCAATGTTAGCAAACAGTTGTCAGTTTGAAACCCAATAAGGCAAATCTCACCAAAGTCTTTAGAAAGTCTTTTGAGGGCACAGCCTTTAGAGCACACCAGGCACTGCTAGGTGCGTTTGCAGGAACTGCTTTCCACGTGATTTGGGGTCATCCATGAG